TGGGCGTTAAAAAAAAAAAAAAAATAGAGCGGAAGCTCTAAAGGCCCGTAACGAGCAGTCATCTTCATTCGGTTGCTCAACCTCTTCCCCCCTCTCTCGTAAAATACCGTGCAACGCCCGTATGTAGGTAGACAGTGGCGCACTACGAACCCTTTTGTATGCACACAATACGACCCGCAAGCTCCACAAGTCCATTGTAAGAACAAAACGAGCGCTCAAACTATGTGCTCCGTCGATGATTTATTTTTCCCTCGCACAGATATGCATGTACATATACGTACAAAATTCAATGCAAAGATACACTTTGTTGTTTATGAAAAGCACACACACCGGTATCTCTAATTAATGCGAGGGGGGAGGGGGAAGGAAAAGGAAACCAATTACAGCCTCGGGAGAGCGTTAATAATGAAAAATCCATCGCGTAACGAGCCTCGGGCTTTCCTCCCACGCCTGTGTGCGAGGATCATCTCGCGCCGATCGCGTTAAATTTGATTTATTCCCCGGCATTATATACGCGCCGATCCGTCGGAGAGGCCTTATGTAAGCCGCGATAATGATTCCGCGCGCGCGTGAGTCACGCACCGCGTATACATCGAGGGGGAAGGATTAAAAAATGAAGAAGAAAAAAAAGTTTCCCGAGAACTTGCGCTCTTATGTGTGTGCGCGCTTCGGAGGATTGGAAGCGAGAAAAACGGAGCGCTACTTTCTCGGCTGTCGAGCTGAAATTAATGCCAAGGACACGCGCGCCCGAGAGAGAGCGTGAATAATCCATGGAAATCGATTAAAATGGAAATTCCGAGCGTGCGTTCGTTTGTTTGCTTGCATTTTCAATGAGCCCTCGGTTGGACAAAAAGTTCACCTTCTGTTTTGCTGTTTTTTTTTTTTTTCCTCCTTCTTCATCTCCTTGTTCCGTCCGCTCGAAGGCTGTGGAGTATAGAGAATAGGAAAATGTGTCGCCTGGGCCGTCGATACGCGTACACACACACGAATCGTGAAATGTGATGTCAAACTCGGCTCTGCGACCAAAGTGTACTGGTATATACCTACGCGTCATAATTGAGCAACGAGAGCGAGAAACTTAAAAAACGGAGCATTCGGACGAGGAAAGAGAACGAAGCAACGAAAGCAATGGTCAAAAGCACGGGTGATGAGCGTATTATATGAATTTACGCGTGTAAGTACAGTGGGGAACGGGCTCTCGTGTTTCTTCATTTCCATTAGCCTCGAGATTTGCGTAACCCAGTTTCGTCGTTGTCTCCACTCGGACGATACACGCATATCCGTCGCGGCGAAAGCTGGGGCTTGCGATCGTTGGCTGGCTCGTGTGGGTATTGAAAAAAGTACGGAAGCTGTACGGGGCAGAGACCGGGGATGAATATGAAGACGCGTGCAACTCGCGGTTTATTTTTTCACGTTGCCGATGAAAGGCTGGAGCTGAAGCTTCGTTCAGCGGTACCCGGAATGAGACGATAGCCCTGGCGATCTTGATTCATAAGCGTCGATGGTATCTTTCGTAACCATCGAGCCTTAGGCAAGAAAAACGCGAGTGGAAGCGGAGAGAAACACATCATCTTTTTAAGAACCTAATGGGTCTCTGACAGTACTTTCATTTTTGAGCCTATACCTTTACGGAAGAAAAAAAAGGCACGAGTACGGCACGGGGAAGAAAGAAATCGGCAAAATTTGAAAGTACAGGAGCACACAGTTTATCGGGCAAAAATAGAAAAAAATCACGAAGGTAACAGTACGGCTTTCGAGGACTTTTGTGAATCCACGAAACAGTCGAGAAAGGATTTGTTTCCGCTGCTTTCTTCGGAGACACCGTAATGGACTTTCTTCGGTTACATAAGAAAATTTCACCGGGCACGACTTTCCGGTCATTAAAAGAGACCACGGCTGAATACGCGAACAGCGTCGGGGAGTATCCCCCGGAGACAATACAGTCGAGCTCTCTGCTCGTGACATCACCGCGAGATTTTTTTTTTCCCAACTATTCCATAGGTCGTACAAAAAAGCGGTGTACGCGAAGCGCCAAGGGCGACAGGGGAAACAGGAGTGTCAAAGCTAAAATAGATAAAGCACAAAAAAAAAAAAAAAAAAAAAAAAAAAAAAAAAAAAAAAAAAAAAAAAANAAAAAAAAAAAAAAAAAACAAAAAAAAAAAAAAAAAAAGAAAAGAAAAAAGTCGGGTTTTTTTGTTGCCATCATGGTACAATATACGTATAGTACACCGCACATGGATAGCCGCTGTCGCAACGCGAGTAAACCCGGCGCTCGCCGTCGTTTCCGCTGGCCCAGTTCGCCGCTTACCTAATTCACAGCTCGTGCACTCGCTCGCCGATTACCGAACACTTTCTCGCTCGCTCGCTCGCCGTTAGACGTTGTATGTATATATACATGTGTCTGTATTGCCGCCGGTTACAGTATCCCCCACCCCCCATACCTATATACAACACACACTAGCGCGCCGTCCTATCCTGAAAATCGGCGAAAGCGCAGCGCCGTTTTTATTTTACCTTTTCGCTCGGTCCCCCCGAGAGCGCAACACCTACGGGTTACACACACGATATTTCGGAGTGAACAGGTGGGTATACAGCACTCGTTAACCGGCGGCTCCGTACGTAACTTGTATGTGTACGATCGGCCTGCTCCCACGAATCATTTTCGTGTGTGGGCTGCCACTGGCTCCTTTTTTGGATCGAAGGGATACGAATTTATTGGGGCCCGCGCCGCACAGGCATTCATACGCTCCTAAAGAGTGTTGCAATTTCTTTTTTCATGCGGGCACTCGATTACAACGCCCGTCGTCGAGACGCATTACTCATGCGCGCGTTACGTCTTATGGCGTGTCCCTTGAATAATTTAAAAAAAAAAAAAAAAACCTCACATTCCCATGGCGATGGCAAAAGCGCAAGACAATTACCCCCGTCGGTAGAGTAGAAAGTTCGCGCGCGAGCAATACCGCGGTACTACCGATCTCCGGCAGCGGCAGCACCTCAAGGGGCCCCATGTCGACTCCTCCACTCGATACATCCCCCTCGAGAGTCCCCACCTCTCGCGGTATCAATCTCCCGAGCCGTCGTTATTCCCTCCACCTGCTTTTCCCACTCGGGGTCTCCCCTCGTAGATACCGATCCCGACACCTGCGTCGCACTGCAGGCTCCGCCCGCATACACCTGAACAACTCATGTATCCTCGGGAGAAAACACTAGCTGCACGCGGCCGAGGGAGAAAGAAAGGAAGAAGGAGCGCGCGCGGGTAATATCAGCGCGTGGCGTAAGCGCATAGCTGCAGCGACGAGTGCTAATTGGCCTTGAACTTGGGAGCCAAGCCACTACGTGGGTAATAGTAGTAGTACAGTCTATGTACGAGCTGGCTGGCTCATACGAAGTAGTAACAGACTGGGCGTGGTAAGACATGCGCGGATCTGCTTTCTCCTCCCTCGTACATGCTTTGTGTTTAATTTTACTTACCGATCTCTCTTGCGTGGTCACTTTGGCTTCTAGGGTGTTGCCATGGGTGTCCGCGTGACTCTGAAACACAGAGAAAGAATGGAAATTAAAAATCACCGTTTCGCGATCTTTTCTCGCTGCGTGGGTGTTTTTTACTCGAATAAACAAATCCACGCAAATTGTTGCCGACAGCAGTACTGATGCATATCATACAAATACACTCGTAACAGTCTTCAGGGCCGATCTGCTTCATTAGTTCTCACAAGCGTGTGGCATATCGCATGGACATGCGCCCACTGCACGTGGGTGCACGGCGCGACAAACAAATTGTACTTATTCTTCGATGAATTTTAATTTACGAGATTTTTCCGGTTTGGCAGTGCGACCCGTTTTCTACCTTTACATTCTGACTTGAAAATACATTTTTGTGCAACAGTGACAGGGTTAATATACAACCGACGTACATGGCTTTCTCTCCTTCTCCCCTTACCGATCATTACAATGCAATTGGTCCCGAGTAGTATACGTATCGTGCTCAATTTGTATTTCAAATTCAAACTTACGCCCATCGAACCTGACAGGTCAGTAGAACCAACTCGCCTTTGCCGCAAGTCTCGAGAAAACTCCAAAGGTAATATAGTTCGGCCGTTTCAAAATCCAGTACCGATACAGCCTTCTAACGAAAGCCATCTGTGATGTTGCGACAGCCATCGTGTATCGTTCGAGTAAATCTGTATGGAAAGCATAGACACGGGCTTTTCTTACGACCCTGACCATGTTTGGGCAGAGTACATACATTCATACATACATACATACATACATGTATACCAGTGCTGCAAGCAAACGAGCTTTTGGCTTGATCCTGGGAATTTTTGCATTTGAGACGAAAATACTTGTACCGGAGGTCACGATGAAAATCAATCTTTCCGGCTGCGTGAAAAACAGCACGGGAAGGGACAAAACAAGTATAGGGGGATTAATCGAATAAAAGTCACTTTACCGCGGAATAAACAACTGCGCGAGAGAAGAAGGAAAAAAAAAACTGGATTTGTCTCGATCTCGGGAAGGAGCCGATCGTCTCTCCCTCGAAAAAACGCACGCCGCGACTCTGCGGTAAGGAGCAACCCCCACTCACGTGTACACAGTCGCATGCACGCAGTCGAGGCGAGCGAGCAAAAAGTGCAAGACGCGAATGATACGAAACGACAGAGACGCGCGCAATCAACGATGTGGTACACGTGGGTATGGGTATAAGTGGCAGTGTGTATAGTAATGAAAACGATCTCGACGGCACTTTTTGCGCCAAGACTTGCAAATCTTACGCAGCCGCAGTCTTGTTTCCTCTCTTTTTTTTTTGCCCCCATCCGAACTCGGGGGGAACATCGGTCATTTGTCGAACAAACTTTCTACGGAGTGACATTTTTCTTCCTCGACTCCCCAATGAAAATTCAACGTCTCAAAGTCGCGCCACGCGCCTCCAATACATCGGTAGGTACGAGCGCACGCGTCGAGAAAAAACACAACTACAAATTGCGACGCAACTCTATACATTAGTGGATGGCACGTAATAAACGTCGTGTTCAATGAAAGCTCGACGGACGAAATGAGAAAAAAAAAAAGACACCTAATACTACCCTGACCCAGAATCGCTGGCTAATGTCACGGCGATTCAACATCGTGCAAAATATATACACGTACGTGTTGCTCTTAAGAACTCCATCATCATCGCAATTGACAACAAAAGCAGCGGGAGAGCCCGTCTCTCGAGTGATCGATTCGAGCATTAGGTAGTCATCGCGCATCTTTTGCCCCCCCACCGGCTTTGTCGTCGAAGCGACATTGTGGCTCTTAATCGATTGCACCATCCGTAAGAAAACGTACTCGCGTGGATTACGTATTCCGCGGTACGTGTACGATACGTATACGCAAGTTATTCGCTCGGCGACCGTCGGTGTATGTCTCCTGGAAGCGAGAGACAAAAAAACCTCGGCGACTATGTAGCTCGCCCGCTGCGTGTGACTCTTACCCAAGGTCTCTCTCTCTCTCTCTCGTCCTCTTGCCTTTCCCATATCCATGTGCATAAATATATGTATGCCGGGTACACCTCTTTCTGCAAGTAATATCTCGTAATTTGAGCGAAGGTCGGAGGACTATCCTACTTGTGACGTGTGTACAATAACGAGGGCTGTAATGCCGATAACTCGCGCGATGATGGTATAATGGCGAGCGACAGCGAGAAAGAGCGGCTTACTCGAGTGCATGTTTAATTAGTAGCTGCTATGTGTAATTGTTGCCGTGCGGGTGTATATTTTATTGTGTACACCAGAGGGGAGTGCGCGACGATGATGTTTGCTATAATTTTTATTGGGGCGGGAAGGATTCCTCGAGCGCCGTCGTGCATGTCGGGTGTCATTACGCGCGCTACACACCTCCACGTGGCCTATTTTTGTAGCCAATGGGGGCTTTTCCGAGTATCAGGCTCAGGTGTAGGTTATAGGAAATTAAAATCTTTGTGCTATATGTACGAGGATAAAAGATTTTGCGGTGTTATTATTCATGGTTCAGTGTCACCAGAGCTTACTATATTAATATTGGGTCCGCTTGCATGTGTATAATAATGTAGGAATAATAATAATAACATGCGTCTATGTGGTTTGACTCGACACAAAGATTTTTCAAAAGCTTTCATTTTAATCCTTCTTACATACTTTCCTTTTGTAATGTTGTTTCTAGTAATTTGTAAGACTTTTGTACGAAAGGCATGCACGTTATCGTAAACTTAACGCCCAACTGACTCTGCTGTTGTTGTTGTTGTTGTTACTACTTCTTTATACATTAGAATATATATTTTAAATTGTAATAGTATAATGCAAATGAAATTGAAATCGATGAAAACTTTTTTTAATAATTTTTTTTTTCTCTCCATACGTCTTTTCTTTAGGCATAAAGATGCGTGCGATGATCCCCTAGTATATATCATCGGACTCGAGAAGGTGTGCACAATCGTTCATAATTATTCACGCTAAAAGGAACGTAGAAAATGTTAAATGGCACAATCAAAAAAGTAAGAATCAATTATTTAACGAAATGAAGGCTTTTCGACACTTTTATACTTTCATCAAATTTTACAACATTTAATATTTCTCCGTACAATAATTGTTCGCATGGAGTCGGGGCTTATCGATGATTGCACGACTCACAGAGCAAGTAGTAAAAAAATAATAAAACAAAAAGCACTACTTTACAGTCGGGAACACCATAATCGAGCACAATATACACCTAATAGCACCTAATGTATAACATAAGATGTCAAGGTCGCCTGTATTAACCCTAACGTGAAACGATTGCAGACTATGCAACCGGACGGGAGACTAAAGCTCTCCTACGACAGCCACCTGGAGACCGTAGCGGCGGAGCTCGGCTCCTGGTACGCTTGGGACTGTCACGTGGACGTGTCCCTCGCCTGCGATGACGGCTCCCTCATCAGGGCCCACAGGGTCGTCCTCGCGGCGGCCAGTCCCCTATTGGCCAGCCTCCTCAGCAACACCTCGCTCGAGCACGTCGTCCATCTCGTCGGGGTGCGCAGGATCCAGGTCGTACACCTCCTCGAATTCCTCTACAACGGCGAGGCCCTCATACCTGTAAGTTGTTCACCTCGTACGTCGTAAATAATGAAAAAAAAAAAAAAAAAAAAAAAAACCATCGATCATTTTGCAACCATTTACAGTCATCGGAGCTGAGACCGCTGAGGGAGCTGTTTGAGCTGCTGCAGATAAAACCAGAGCTGTACGAGCCCAGCCAGTCACAGAGCTCGGTCAGCTCGAACCCCGAGAGACCCTGCACTCCGCAGCCCCCCTCGGAGGAGGGCCAAGAGAGCTCGAGCTACGAGTCGCAGTACGACGGCAGGTAAGTCGAACACTATTTGACGATTGGTATAAGATGAAAAGAAAAAAAAATTCACGGCTCAAACCGACAACTCCAACAGACAGTCGAACAACCCGGCGGATTGTTGCTCGGTGGTTATCAAGACCGAGGACGAGGAGGAGGACGAGGAGGACGCGGAGGCGGACGAGGTGGACGTCGAGAGCGACACCACGCCCTCGGAGAACAACCACGAGACGAGCAGGATCGAGCCACCCCGGCGGAGGGACAGCTCGGACCCGGTGAACCTCAGCATAAACTCGGGCGCCTCGACGACCAGCGACAGCTCCCGCGACATCGTTCACAGGCTCGAGTCCTCGCTCAGGAGTTGCCTCGACGACAACACGGGCAGCTGCAAATACCGCGAGAACAACACCGATCCCCAAACCGGGGCACAGCCGGTCTGCGACTTGCAGACGCGAGAGCCGAGGTGCGCACCACACGCTTGTTACACTTGTGATGTTTTACCATGCCCACCACTCACTTGTGCTTGATGGTCTACAAATAAATTGTATTTATCTTGTGAATGTGTATCGTCATCATCGATAGGTCGAATTTCCGGCACGACGGCAAGTCGGAGAGACGGGAGTCGCTGGACGATCACCACGAGGAGAAGCGAAGGCAGCTGGCGGCGCGGCTGGCGCTGGGCCTCGAGCCGAACAAGAGGAAGATCGAGGAGATACCGATACCACCGGCGGAGGCTTACGTGGTTACGCCCCACAGGAAGCGCAGGCCCGGCTTTCACAACGCCCCCGCCCAGAATCCCGCCTTCGTGCCCTTCAACCCCGGCTTCGAGACGCCGAGGAGGCTGCACGCGCCGCACGCCCTCAGCGCCTCGGCCCCACCGTACCACGTGAGTGTAACCTATACACTGTTTGAGGTGTTTGTTTGTTTTTTTTTTTTTTTTTTTCTCAATAAAGCACGGCGATGCTAAAGGTGCACTGACATTTCCCAGCAGGACAGGTCGATGACGCCGCCAGTGATCCACCGGCCACCCTCGGCCGATCCGGCAGCCGCGGCGTCCTTGGAGCCACCTTGGGGTGCCTGGCGGTTACCCCCGAGCCGGCCACCGCCCGCGCCCGCCACCCCCGAGGACTCCCCGAAATCGACGCCGGTGCGCGAGTACCGGTGCACCTACTGCAACAAGCAGTTCGGCATGTCCTGGAACCTCAAGACCCACCTCCGCGTGCACACGGGCGAGAAGCCCTTCGCGTGTCGGCTGTGCGTCGCCATGTTCAAGCAAAAGGCCCACCTGCTAAAGCACCTCTGCTCGGTCCACCGTAACATGATTGTCGGCAGCGACAACAGCTTCCTCTGTTGCTTCTGCTCCCTCAAGTTCGACAGCCAGTCGGAGCTGATAAGGCACCTCTCCGGGCCCCACAACAACCTCCTGCTCAGCAAAAACTTGCACGATTGACGGCTCACCGGCCGAGAGCTTCGGGCCGTTGCTTGTTTTGCGAATTTTTCGTAGCCTCGAGCGAGTGCCGGGCAAAGCGAGGTGTTTGTCGCGTGCGATCAACCACGTGAGCGGAGGTAACCGCAAAATATTTTTATGACGAGCGATCGATCGATCGAAACCGAGGACAATAATCGCGTTCAAGGAACGGACGATCCCGCGCGAGCTTTTTGCTATTTTTTTTTTTTCCGCCTCCCGCTGTTTGTGTACGCGGAGAGTGAAGAGAAAAGCAAAGCACCCTTACGTACCACCAATTTACAAATCCCTCCTCCACTACTTTGAATTCCCTTTTGTTCTTTAGATCTTGTTCGATAACGATAGTTTTCATTGTAATATTTTCTTTTTTCTTTTAACTTTATTTTTTTTTTCCATCTGTACATAGTGTTACATACGAAGCGACGAGTTGTTATTTATTTTACACTTTGCAATGGGACCAAGCGAATTTCCACCGAATAACAATTATTAGATAGTAGATCTTACGATAGCGGCCTGCCTACAATCGCCTCAGACAAGCATAAGTAGTAAATTCTTTTTTTTTTTTTTTTCTTCGTTACTTGTAAGCGCAAGTATGCGTGTAGCAACGCGTCTCGAGATTTGTGTGCAAGAGGGAGGGGTCAGATAGAGAGAGAACAAAATAAAAAGGAAGAGAAATTTGTGTGCGTTGCGCATCGACAGAAAAACCAACGAAAACGACGACGATGTCATATTGGCAAATAAGTGTGCGAGATGGTTCCAACAAAAAAAAAATTGTTGTATGTGTACGTTGGTTTTGTTTTATTTTTTTTTTTCATCTTTTCTTTGTTTTTCACGACTTTGACAACATCTGTGACTCTAGTGCCTTGTCAAATGGGTCCAAAAAATCCGATTGGGCAGTGATTACATGTGTTCATAGGCTTAAGCGTTTTTAGACGAAACATTTTTACGCAGAGACGAAGGAGATAGAGAGAAAACAAAATAGTAAGAAGCGAAGTTTGTATATTATCATTTGTTCTCCGAAACAAATGTCTATAGGCGAAAAATCAATGAAATAAATTATTATTATTATAAATGTTGGCGACAAAAATATTTCTTGTTGTTGCGATTGCCGGGCGTATAACGAATACAAAAAAAAATGCACAAGTATCGAATACGCGCGAGGGGAAAAAAAATAACGTGCATTGGAATAAACGGTAATCGATGTATAGGACTCGGCTATTTCTTTGCGAGCGAAGAAAGTGCGACGACGACAACAGTTATTTTTGTACTTCATCGTGTACGTTTTTACGTAAGTATTGTCAATGAAGGAGATGCTACTCGTACAGGGTAGTTGCCTTGAATTTAATTCATTGTAGAATTTTCATATCTCTTTGTTTTGTATTTTATCTATGACGCGGGTCGTCAGATTATAAAGGATATAGTGAAAAATGCAAATTACGATTGAACCCTTAATTCGGTGACTCTAAGAGTTTGGCCTGATTTTGTTTATTTGAAGCAACAAGAATACAAAAAACTTGTAACATTCCAAACAGTATCCAAGTATTTCTTTCTAAATAACAAAAAGAATACGTTGATGGTATAAAAGAATTGCCGAGAGATAAAATGTTGAAAAATATTGTACAGTGCCGCAGAATACCCCTCCTGTCTCCAATGTGTAGAGAATAAAAAAAAAAAATTATTCATACTTTTTAATATATAAAAATTATCACTCGATATGCAATCACACCAAAGATACGTTCACACAGGCGTTCGGGCGTAAGCTTTTAACCGTATTCTTTTTCTGTCACTTTTGTGTTACCATGCGGCAGCTGATGCGCTTTGAAAAATATTGCACTTCGATCCATACTTTGTTTTTTTAATTGCTCCGTAATTTGCAGTAGTTTTAAAATTCAAAATGAGAATCATTATGAAAATCATACGTAGTGTTGTCTGGTTTGAAAAATTTAAGATTATGAACTATTTATTAAAAAGAGAATTCATATTTACCCTTTAATAAAAAAAAAAAAAAAATATTGAAATTAGTAACTGATCCGTTTTACAAAAGAGGCAAACGATAACTTGACAATTAGTAAATTTTAACATTGACTCGTCAAAGCCAGACAAGACACGTTATAATGATCAGCATACATATAAATAAATAAATAAATAATACACAACACAGTGAACGCAATGTGATACTAAATGATAATAAATAAAGTAATTATTTTTTAATACGCGCCGAGAGACGCGTCCTTGTGACAGGACGCTCCTCGCGTGTTTGTATACATCACCATGTAATTACGATTAGTAGAAAGGAAAAAAAATGAAGCGAAAGAAAATGCAAGCAAAAAATCAGAGTAATTGAAAAAAAAAAAAAATCATTAGGAAATAAAAAAAAAAAAAAAAAAAAAGACACGTGAGACACAAAGACGAAGGATGTAGATGTAAATTATAATTTTTAAGCTTTTATCGTCCCCTGCGTTTTTGTCTTATTTTTACGTTAAAGATTTTATCCCAACAACAGCAACAATTATTAATATTACTACCATTATTATTTCACGTACACGTAAGTAGATGATAATATATCAGTTAACGCTAAGTATTACCTTGTACATGAAACAATTTTAGCAACGTAAGAGATAAAATAAAAGCTACAATTTTTAGGAAAAAAACAATGATTTGAATAATGTTTTGTAAATAGTTGTCACAATAATGCCAGATTACAAAAGAGTATGTACGGAGTCGAAGATTACCGGGCAAAGTCTCTTTTCGCTCGCACGTGCACAATTTTTTGATTTTTGTCTGTAATTTGTATAAAAAATTTACAAAACGTCTGGAAGGAAAAAATGAATACAACAATGTATATTTATGTAAAATTAAGCGAGCGACAATCGTGTTTTCTGATCGTAGGCTGGCGCCGCTGCAGCGGACAAGTCGTAATAGTACAAAAATGTGAAAGAAAAAGAAAAAAACGCACGAGGACAATACTTCGATCGCGGGTTGCACAGAATCCCACGGATACGTGCAGCGAGTATTATTTCCAACCTCTTTTGTAATATATATACATTAAAATGAATAAAGTGGAAAATAAAAAATTTGCGTGGAGTTTGAAAGAAAATTTAATCTGTAATATTATTAATTTTTTATTTTTCAATTTGAACGATCAATTAGTTTAATAATCGATGCGACGTCCGAGTGTGATCGGAAAATATTGTGTATAAATATTGTGGAGAATGATTAGCTGATTATAACGAAAGTTCGATCAAAGACAATAAAAATAGAAGAAGAAGAAAAACAAACAAATGATCTCGCGACGAAATATATCCGCACACTTGTAAATGAGAACACACATACGCATACAAGCGCCGTTTCTCTCTATCTCTGCAGTTTTCTTGCTTCCTCGTGACCTTCCCCCCTCTTTTACTCTAAATTACTACTTTTGGAATTATCTTTACACAAGCAAGAAAAATAATACCTCTCCCTCCTTTTCTCATACTTTGATTCCTCAAACCTTTTTTCGCTAATTTTTCCATTTTTCACTCCACAACGTCTCTCTCTATTCCTGGAAGTCTGCATGACAAGAAAAAAAAAAAAAACAACGATAGATTGTAAGCATCTCTTCCGATTGCGGAACGCGTCTCCGCCCCAATGCTTTCTTAGTGTTCATAGACTTATGAAAATACATTAATTGAAAAAAAAAAAAAAATGAAAACTTTTTTTCCTCAATACTATAGCCTTTACTTATTAAATCCTATACCACACTGCATTGTACGTTAAGTGCCCTTTGTGGCTTTTATTTATCAAATTGTAATTTTTGTCAACGATCCTTGGATGAACTTCTCTTGTTGGCTAAACGATTCTCCAACGGAAGACTACCCGGAAATCGGTAAAGATTTCTAAAAGTTTTTTTGGCAGTACCATAATACTCAAACGTATACGAATGGGTCGCCATTCACAACGCCGTCTAGCTGAAACAGCCGGTCAATGAAGATAGCAAACCGGTAAATCCTTGAGGAGGAAAAAGAAAAAAAAACTCACTGGCACCTGTCAAACCGTCTTTTAGCCCAAGTGGTAAAAAATGGTCTCTTATAGTCACGGGCTCATCTTAACGGTATACCAATACAATAGCCCACCGTCATAATAGCACTCGATCGATGCGTCAAAGTTCGGCCCAACTGTCTTCCGCACAGGAGGGTTATTACACTCGAAGGGCAAAATATCCGCGCAACGGAGCGCACACGTATCGCCGACCGACATCGCGTTGTGAGCCCACAAAGCCGCTCCTCCTTCTCTCGCCCTTTCTCTTCGCAGCGTCCCAGAGCAAGAGGCTCTAACGGTTCCCTGGTACTGCTTTTTGTACAAAAAGTCAGCGGGGCCCGTTAGCCCAACCGATGCTGCCGTGTGCCCTCGAGGGGCCAGACTCGAGCCTGCATCAAATCTCGCGGATCATCGTAACGTTTGGGGTGACCTAGGAGTATACACCCACGGAGGAGGCCGATGGACACACCACGTGTACGCTCTTGACCTTTTCGATCGGTTAGTGGGTATTGGGAGTTTTGGCGCGTTGAATACATCAACGCCGCTCTATGGTAATTTACGTCCGTGGAGTTTGTCGGGCACCAGGTATTTTTGAAAACTGTGTGCCTCGCTGTGGCGGAGCGGATTCATGTATGGATGAAATAACCATCAGAGACTTTGATAAGTGATTAGCTTCATCGCAATTTCTTTAGCGTCGAAACGCTGTAATGCGTAGCGTGGAAATGGATTGCGTTGTTTGTATTATTTCCAGGCGTGCAAGTGACGATTCTAAAGTTAGAACAAACGCAGAATTCGTCGAAACGAGGCTCGTAGATATTCACCTCGTCGCCCGAGAGGAAAAAGAAAAGAGACAAGTCAGGCGCACTTGATTTCCGCGGCTTAATTTATTTGCTCCCGTCTCTCGGCTGAAGAAAAAAAAGGAAGACACGCGCGAGGGATAGGGAGGACAGGCTAGCCGTTTCGAAATAGAAAAATGCTAATGCACCTAACGGCGCATCGTAATGGAGTGGCTCTTTCTAATGCTCGCAAAAGCGCGCTGGTGCCCGTGTGTGCAGACTGTGCTCCAACAATGCTCGTGTGGACAAAAAGTGGAGGAGGAAGAGACAACGTTGACGCAGTGCACGAGAGAACGGACGAGGTGGCAAGGGAACGTCGGACGGGATTCCCGATAATGGCACTTTCGATGCCAAGAAAAAAAGTCCCAAGTGAGGGCACAGCCGCAACAGCCCCATGCACTTGTAGCGTCGCGTGAACTTGAACTCTCTGCTCCCTCTCTCCGTCTACTTATCTACTCTCTCATGGCTGAACTTGCAGTCGCGCCGACATCGATCAACAGTTGCACGTGTGTGAGTACATGTCTCGCGTAGGTTTTCCCAGCGGACTGCAAAAGGCAAGCGTAAGAACGTGCAGGTTTGCCACTGTCACGTGGAAATGTACAAGATGCTTGGGCGACACGGGACCGCCCATTAGGCTCTGCGTCGTTACTTTTTTACGCAACGTGTATACCGATCATATACAAGGGTGCGATTTCGAAAATTTTTCTACTTAAGAAATACGTGGGTGTACTAGTACAATAATGTGTCAAGTAGATGATCACAATTCAAGTGTCAGGAATACCCTGCCCATGCGGGGCTAATGGTAGAGTAATCTGTGACAACGGAACGATTGTAGGGTTCTCGACTAGGTTGTTACTGCCACTTCGTGTAAATGATGCGATTGAAAACCCTAAATATTGACAGTACCTCGTCAAAAACAGTATAATCCAAATTGCTGCGTTGACAAATTCCAGATATTCTTTTTTTTTATTCTATCTTTGGTAAATGTTGAAAACTTAAATTTAATTTATCAACATGAAACGTCAAGACGTTTGGTGGCAAACGTCAAAACGCCTGGACAACGATCAGGGCGGAAAAAAATCGTGCGAACACATTAATACAGGCAACGTCTCATCTTGAGCAACGCAGACGCTTGGATCATTCACGAGCGTGTGTATATGCGTAAGTACCGTTCACTGCCACCGAAATATCGTTATCCTTGAAAACTGCTGGGATACATTCTGCATCGACCACCTAAAAATCATAATTCCAAGCGAAGGAGAGGAGCGGAAAAAAGCAGCAATAATAATCCCCGGGAGGGAGGCAGCAGCCACATGGGAGAGAAACGAGAAACGCGCGGTACCGTAATACTCATCGGCGAATCTGCGCGACTCGGACGCACAGGGTTACCGGGCACAGGTGGGAAGGCAGAGGGAGGGGGGGGGGCGTCCGAGGTAAAGGTATAAGCTTGCTTTTGCACGCGTTCGCGATTACGCGTGTGCAGGCACGTGTACGTGTGTGTGTGTGTGCACGAGTTGGCTGGTGCTGGTGATACCGCTGGTCCGGTCAACGATCCCTGCTTGCCCTCCGCGCTTAAAGTATATAAAGCTTCGCGGACTTTGGCCGCGGACGGCAGATCATCCCATGCTCGTGGAGCTGAACGATCGCGCGATCAACATGAAGAGCTGCTACGTTGCGCTGCTTATAGCGGCCCTCGCCATCGGCGCCAGGGCGCAGATTCCCTACTTTGGCTCCTGCCCGGAGTACCTACCCATGCCTGGTTTCGACATGGAGCGGGTGAGTTTTTTTATTTTTTTTTTATTTTATCCATTATTGAGTGATTTTTTTTTTTTTTTTTTTGTCAATTTTTCAATTTTCAACGTGTTTTATATACCGATCGACTGGTGTTGTGAAGTAACAATTAAATAAATTTAAAAAACCCTTGGTCGTAGTTCCTCGGTGTTTGGCACGAAGCCGAGCGTAACTTCCAGTTGTCGGAAATCGCTTCGCGGTGCGTCATGTCGAACTACACCCGAGCGAACGACGGTAAACTGCACGTCATCAACGAAGTAAGAAGCCAATTGTAAGTCACGAGAGAAAATCTAGAGTAACGATTGAAATAACAAAATAAATAAAAAAAACAATGTTCTCTGTAGCACCGGTATCAAGCGAGTACTCGAGGGTGAGATCAAAAAGGCTCCCTCGAAGGCCGAGGAGGGCAAGCTTCACGTAAAGTACACGTCGGTGCCGGTCCTCCCGTACGAGTCGCAGTACAGCGTATTGGAAACCGACTACGACAACTACGCCGTGCTCTGGAGCTGCACGAGGTTCTGGCCCCTCACGGTCCACAACGCCTGGATCATGACGAGGCAGCGCATCCCCCCGGGCGAGGTCCTTCAAAGGGTAAGCTCAAAACCAAAAAAGAACCGTCGCTTTTTCGAAGTTCCGAGTGATCTCACGGCAACGATTTCCACAGGCTTACGGGATCCTCGACAAGTACAAGATCTCCAAGGTCCTGTTCCTCAAAACCAACCAGGAGGACTGCTCCTTCGATGAGCCCGCCAAGGCAACCGAGCCGCCGAAGAACGACGACGACGAGGTGACCGCCGTCAAAAGTGCCGAGGCTCAGGTTGCCACCGCGGCGGCAGCTGCACCCGAGCCTACCAGTGAGTTGTTCGACTTGACGGTATACGAGCGACACGTGAAATGAATTTTAATTCGGAATTTGTCAACAGAAGCCGAGAAGGAAGGACCAAAGTCCGTAACCGAGATCATAATGAAGATAGCCAGTGAGGCCAAGGAGCAGCCCAAAGAGGAACCGGTCAAGGAGCCGTTGGCTGCGGAATCGGTGGCTGCCAAAGAAGAGGAGAAACCGGCAGTGCCCGAGGGGAGCGCGCCCGTCGTCGCGGAAGAGAAAAAGCCCGAGATCGAGGAGCAAAAGGCGTCGATCGCCGAGATCGTCGAGGAGAAGATCGAGATCGTCAAGCCCTAGCTGCGAGGCTTGCTTTTTTAAAATTTAAGATACAAAGGCTGCGATACAATGCGCGATCATCCTCTTTTTTTTCCCCTCCAACCTCCCCTCCCCGCCTTATTTTTCACTTATCTGTAGATTGAATTTCGTCCTGGGCTTGTAGCGGCAGTCGATTGGAGCTGGGCACATCAAACCGTAAGACGCGCGTGCGGGCTTGCCTCCAGGAGGCTGCCAGTCTCGCTCGGGACCACCGCGTCATTTCTCTCTCTCTCTCTCTCTCTCTCTCTCTCTCTCTCTCTCATATACTTATCATTATTATTTATTTACCAAAAACAAAAACGATGAAAACAATACAAGTGAATGTAAACTTGTTTGGGGTGTAAAAAAAAAAAAAACAAAAAAAAATGAAACAAAAAATGCAAATAAATTGTTACAAAAAACCCTTTTCTAAAAAAAAACCAAAAGACTCTTTGTTTATTATTTTCACCACGTCCTTTTGATAGTATTAGGAGGTAATTGGCAGTAAAAGGCTGTTAACGTTGTAACACAGATTTTAAAGTCACTTCTAAAAACTTGAGTAAAGTAAAATCGCCTTTTTTTTTATTCAGCATACCAATGTAAATAATAATTAGCTACTTTGACCTATGGATCATTATTATTTATGAAAAGTCCAGGTACAATTGTCTTTGTCAGAGCCGAAGGATAAATACAAAAAGCAATGTAATCCAATCTTGGATTTTTCGAAAATGGCCCAACGCACCATTGTCGGTACCACGTACATCGCAAAAGTTCGTGTGACGTTTTCTCGATGGCAACGAACTCTTCCGAAAGAAAAACGTAGCGCGCGTGCATTATGCCCCCGAGACGAAAGCCGAACGAACGATCGGCCAAACAAAAAATCGACAAGCCGCGTTCTGGAGTTTCTTGAACCTTAATATCAGTCGTCATCCTCTCTCCTGCTTGTACTGTTCCGTTACTGACCCAGTAAGGGGATAGTGTGCCGTGGCCCCTCGCGCGCGAGGACGTCCCCGCATCGCATCGGAGCGAGCCGAGGAGAGCAGACGCAGCAGCAGTTCAGTGCCCACTGCAACCGAGCACCATCCACTCCTCCATCGAGCAATTGTTTCTCTTCCGCATCTACTGCGTGACCTTCGATCGGTGCTCGATAGGGTAACTTTGTGTGCGAGCCAAGGTCGGCATCAGGTAACACCTATTTACTACTCTGCCGTACACAATATATACCTCACAGCACCATCGCTACACCAAATACGTTTTGCCGGTCGCATGCGCGCTTACGGGAGATACGATCATGTTTCTGAAGCTGAACTCCGCTTGTCTTATACGTAAATACACCTGTACACGCATACAAACGTGTGTCTGCGTATACGTCTTATTTTGATGGATTCATATATTGGGGATCCGTTGTAACAGTTAATAGCCGTCCATCCGATCGGCTGTTACGGGAGACATTTTTTGTTTTCTTTTTCCACTTTGGAAGGAATTTTGATTTTGATTAACATTTTACCGATCCGCCGAGCCTCAGGCTGTTGTGACGAGTAACTGATTTACGTGTTCCTTTTACTTCTCGTTAGAAAGTAGCAATGTTTCTATTATTTTTTTTTTTAACAATACTTGAAAAATCGTAAATTGTTTATTATTTTTTGAACGATACGAGATACAGTAAATGTAGAAAATTTGTTCAAGTGATCTATTTATACAATACTGAAAGTTTTTCATTTACTTTTGGATAAATAATTGCACGTAACTGATGACTTTGTAGTTACTTTTAAAACTTTACTACAATCTGTTTAAAAAATTTTTTTTTTTCTTTTTATTACTGTAATTGTAGAGTTGTACTACGTGAATTATCAAATTTTAAAATCTTATTTTAACTATCAATATCAAATAATACTGCCACATAAACATGTTAACAGCTTAAAATTGTTGACAAACCAAGTTTTCGACATTTTTATTTAATAATTGATTATACTGCATACAACCATATCTTGTATTTATGAATGGTTTGACTGATTGTAAAGATTATTGGTGCGTGAATATTTATTACGCCCAAAGCGGGAAATCGAAATTTCAATGGTAGTAACAGTAGTTTAGAAAGCGACCCATTAGACTTCACTTGTACTGATTTTTCAAGCTCGTGTGCTGTTGGATGCGGATGTGAAATTTAAAATCAGCTAACACTGACATTGACTTCCTTCGTGTGACACTGTTTTCCCTTTACTTTTCTTTCTCGTCTCGTTTTTTATTTGCATTTACTGGAATATGACATTTTGAAGCTAAAAATGTATATCTGCATTGCTGTTTTCTTTAAAAATTTTATTAAAACAATGTCATTGCATCCAATGAATATATGATTTTAGATTAAACAGTATAATACGTGTTTACGATTTTTTTTTCATATTTTTGTTGCATCATGCCACCATCGTGTGGTTGTCAAAAAGATTAAAGTACATGTTTTCAAGAAAACTAGACTTAAAATTCTGCAAATCACTGTTCATAAATACTTATTTCGATGATAGAAAAAAAAAAAAAAAAAAATTAATTACATATTAAAAAGTAACTAATCGTGAAAAAAATGGCCAATAATTAGAGTAAGAAAAATGTATTTTTCACTAGTGGAGACCAATAGTTTTATTGATACTTCACCGAAGTATCTAGAAACCAAATGTTATTCTATATTGACAGACAGACCATGCATATGTAAAAATAGTCAGCTAGTAAGTACTACTCATCTATGAAATGCACAAACTATTGAGCGATTGAGTAACATTATTTTTCTGTTCACGTCCGTACGTCAACCGCACACACCTGTGAATGCACAATAACCATTTGTCAACTGTAGGCGTTCATAGTAGGAAAATTACCAGCATTATTTTTAATTATTTTCAGAGTAACCACATGCAATTTTGCGTTAAATTTTGTTTAAAAATCCACTTACGACTATCTTTTATTCAACAAACTAATGACAATCTTATGATAATCATTTAAAAATACTAAATACGGAAATATTGGGAGTAATTTTTGGTAAAATTCTATTGCGCACTTCAAAAATATAGTTTGAATAGCAAAGTGACGCTCAAATGTGATTGATGACACTAGCTTTATGCTGATCATTCTTGTGCCGCGAAACCATTAGGTGCGTCATCTTTGGTAACGTCGCAGTAGAGCAAAGGCTACAATATATATTATAACAAGAGCCCACAGCCATTGATTTTAAAAGAAATCTGTCAAACGCAACACGTAAAATAATTACAAAGCCTACCTACACTGTTGGCAAAGTATTTAAAACAGTGGCAACACATCAGCTTCAAAGACCCCGCATGTTCCTTTGCCATATTGTAAAAAGATAACGCGGGAGCGAGGAAAACAGCTAATGACACGTTACCACACCGAATGTATTTATTATATAAAAGAAGCTCGCCGGCGTCGCAATTGCTTAAACGTTGGCCGATCCGCTGAAAGGCAAGTCAGCCAAGCCCTTCCCTCGTTATCATTATCAGTACAACAATGTACATTTTTTTTTTTTCCTGTCAATCGAAGGTTTTTCAAGTTATCACAATTGTCTGACAAATTTTTTCAGGTTACAAAGTGCTCCGAGGATACGCAAACAGAGATGCTGTGGACCTTCTTGGGATTCTTCCTGGTTGGAAGTGCAGTCGCTCAAGTTCCCTTCTTGGGTGGCTGTCCAAAAGCGGAAACGCAGCCAAACTTCGACCCATCAAAGGTGACCTTTGATTTTCATTTGACAAAGCTTTCGAACACAAATGACAATATTCTCAATAAAACAGAAACTCTTACAATGACTTTTACGATTACAAGAGCTTACTTTTTTTTTACATGTGCAAACAAAGTACGAAGCACGCAATTTGTATGTTTGAAAAAATTTCTAACTTTCGCATTGTAATTGCGCTCATTGTTTGGGTGACAGATGTATTGGTCATATTCATAAGTGAGGCTGTACTTGTCCAAAATGAAAAATGAAAGAAAAGTTTAATGACAGACTCCTGTATGCAAAAGAGAAAAATGAGAGGGCTATTTTACTTTCAGTACCTTGGAAAGTGGTACGAAGCAGAGCGTTACTTCGCCATCTTTGAGTTTGGAGGAAAATGCGTAACGGCGACTTACAGTCTCAACGATAACGGGACAGTGAGTGTGTTCAACAGACAAATTTCATCCTTGTGAGTACATAAATAATATTCGTAGCAGTGCCTCGCGAAATCCCGTCCTAATGTTTTTTCCCCCTTTCTCTCCGAAAACAAAAAAAAAAGAAGTGGCGTGGAGTCGAGCATCGAGGGCCTCGCTTTCCAGAAGTCACCCGACAAAGCCAAGCTCTCCGTCAGCTTTCCGTCGCTGCCTGTCCAATTCGACGCGCCTTACTGGGTACTCGACACTGATTACACCTCGTACGGGGTCGTGTGGAGCTGCGTGGACTTCAGTATTTTCAGGTATACTTTCCATTTACTTTTTTGCGTGGGACAATCCCTTTCATAATTGCAGCTCTTCGAATAATACTTACTATGTGGGTACAGTTTGGTAATTTCATTTTTTTTTATCCTGCTGCGGATGTATCACTTGTGAGAAGATGTAAAACATGTACCAACGTTTGAACGCAATTGTTTATGAAACTGCGATGTCGTGTCAAATTTTAAGTACCCTCATATGTGCAGCAGAGGCGATAAATTTTTATGTTGGTTAAAAATAACTTTTTGCGTTCAACGCTGGATGTTAAGATTTGTTAATTGCCATACCGGTTTATCGGTCTTAAAGAGAATTCCCGCACAGCCAACATTTTGGGAAACTGTATCGAGTTTTTTTTTTTTATATACTCCTGTATAGCACGAGAAATGCCTGGATTCTGACGCGTGAGCGAAACCCGCCTGTCTCAGTTTTGGAAAAGGCTTACAAGGTTTTGGACAAGAATGGAATCAGCAGAGCTTTCTTGGTGCGAACCGATCAGAAGAACTGCCACGACGACAGCGCCAATCCGGAATCCAACCAAGTCTCATAAGCAAGACTTGTTCCAGCAATTGTTTCTATTTGAAAAAATGACGAAAGTTCCAAATAGTTGTTAAAATTTATTTATTGTAAATAGATGGTAAGTAAGGTATTCGAGATGGATAAGAATAATTGTGATCTTTAGACGTGTAGAAAAAATATGAGGCAGTTTGTTTAAAAATTTGCAGATCCAAATTTATCGTGTAATTTTACATTATTTATTATTAATTACCTATGCTACGAATAAATGTGATATGAAATTATGAACCATTCCTCATTGAGTTGAATAAAAAAAAAAAAGTACCCCTATAATTTGCTAAAACCAGGTACAGATGACATCTGTGTCATGGTTGTGAAAGCTCGCGCTTGGGATGTCCGACTCATATTCTTACTTCTCGTGAGATGTCGACACGAAACTCGTATAACTCTGCTGCTGGATACCCACAGGTGAGCGATAAGTTAGAGATCTGTAGAGGAACACAATGCAAGGTAAACTGCAGATGAAAACCAAAAGAGAAGGTACAACAGTACATATAGGGTGGTTTTTCATTGTTTAATTGTAAAACAAGTACACCATTGCTGAACGTTAATAAGAATCTAAACAGAAGTAACAAAAGTTAATAATACATACTTGTACGTCAAACATCACAATTTATTCCCAATGATCTCAAAATGTGGCACTCCCAATAAAAGATAATAGAATATACACGCATACTGTATAGCCCCTCGCAAAGAGTGCCGCGATGAGCAATTACACTGCAGTACCGAGGCTCAAATTGCTCGCACTCTCAAACACGAGAATTCCTCCAAGCCCCGTTAAATTTGACTATTGCATTATTATACTAATTTCAATTCGTATTCAAATGTATGCAAAGTCGACATGACGCGGAGAAATACGAGCGGACGAGCGTGTAAACTCTCTTTGTACCAAGAGAGCGGCTCTTGTTATAATTCACGCCTGGTTACAGCCGCTGCGGTGCGATAATTGAGGATCCATACGCGCTCTTGAAATATACAACGAGCCCTTTCGCTCCTTCTCGCAGAGGGGGTGGGACCGGTTTAATTGAACAGTCGTTACTCACGCAATTGTTATTCCGTTGGGGGTAGGGCTGTGCGAAAATAAAATCAATTCCGACTATACCGTGCTTTTTGAGATCAAAGGATTACTTTTGGGGGCGGTGGAAAAAAAAGTACCGAGGGACCGGGAAATGGAAATCTCGGAGTGAATTTCTCGTACAGTGTGCGTTTGCATAAGCTAAGCGATTTCGTGCGACAAAAAATGTACTCCCGAACCCCCACGGTGGAAAAAAAAAGATCGGAGATCCGTCTCTCTCTATTGCGCAAACCAAATAAATTACCAGCACGCGGCAACTCCGGCGCATCGGCAAATAAGCGTGTGACTATTATAATAACCCTCCCATCTGGACAATCCCGTGCTACTAAATTAAACAAACGCTTACTCGCCGTTGTCGGGGTGGAAAGTGCGGGAGGGAGGGAAGAAGACACATTGTACACAGCACACGTGTACAAACATAGTGGCTCCGGCCTCGGATTTTCGCGTTCGATGTATTCCGTCTCCCTCGTTTATTGACCTTAAATCTGCATTGTATCCGCGTCTATTTGTGCGGGATGAAAAAGAGATGAATGAACAGGGGAGGCTTTTTTTCCTCTTCATCTGTTATTGTTTTGCTTTGAGCCACAGTACCATTCTCTGGATGCATGATTTAATGGTGAATAACATTTTCCTATTAAATAAAAATGGCACTCTGTTAAAAAAAAACTGTAGAAATACGATGCGTCAAATATCTCAGGTGTTTTGTCCACATTAAACGAAATGGACACATCAGATTACCATTAACAAATGGTAATCCGTACGATTACAAGTACAATCGCGACACCCTCGATAAGCAAGATCCATGGGGGCACGGAAATATTGTCGTTCGAGTATACACTCACAACGCTTCCCACGATTCCATACTTGGGGCCCGCCTTCACGTTATCGCAGCCATAACAGTCGCCTGACTACGAAACAATGTATAGGTACACTCCTTCCGCGACAGCGAGCGGGTTGTGTGTATAACGTGTATACCATTGAATCCTGTGCAGTAGTGGTGCGAGAAAGCCGTCGCGAAAACGCCCCAGCGCTTATCGTCTATGTCTATGCATAGTGTCCCCTTTGAAGCCTCGTATAATAAATATAATACATTCATACGCGTACACCAAGGATATTATGCCTATGCTCACTTGCACCAACATACGTATTGCTTTGTGTATATACTTATCCGAGGGGTATAGGCGAAAATCAGTCGCGTTTGGAGAAGATGGTCGTAAATTTGACACGCGGCTCCACGGGAGTCCGGCCTCGACAGTTTACAACAACGCGCGCGCGTGTTATACGATAGCTTCACCCTTTTTTTTTTCGCCTCTCTCTCTCTCTCTCCTTTTTTTTTATTATCCCGACAATTTTTCGATGTCGCTGTAGCTCCGTACAACGATACCCCTGCATATGATCCATCGTTCGTGTCTCGCACACCGTGGCTGTATACATGGATGTTCCTCTCTCTCTCTCTCTAGGTCATCTCTGCGTTTCCAAATATTTCCGTGCGATGCCTATCTCCAGGAGCTTTATGGGCCTCGTAACAAAATGCGCATCGCTAATTATCCGAGCTCTCGCTTGATCCTTCTTTATGGACTCGGTGTGACATTAAGATGGAAAATTATTTGCTCTCTGCCCTGTTATTATTACAAAGCTGTAAATTTCCCTCCCCCCCTCTCCCTGGGTAGGTATTTTATATTTTCAACCAAACTCTGCAGGCTTTTTCCGCTGTTTCTGCGCGTGAATTAATTTACAGTTGAAATTTGGATGGTTCAAACGATTGCAGGGCCCTCTTACATCGTAAAATTTCAATCGAAACGAGGATCCATCATCGTTTGTGAAAAAAGTGGGCCTCCTTTATTTTTCTCCCCCTCCCCCTTCCCCCCCCCCAATGTGTATACACATATGACGAGCACGAGTATAATCTTTTATAATTGCAAGTCCACGGCCATGGTAATTTAAACAAGGACGAAATTACGCTGTCGTGTTTTCGGATGATGAAAATTCACTTGTTGCTCGCTTCCAGGGCTCTCCGAGCTCGGTAATTTTCGACTGACCCCCCCTCCCTGACGCTGAGAGATAAATTACATACAAATCGCTCGGAATCTCCGCGCGCGCGATTTTCTCAGCGTTAAAAAAACAAATGGAAGATAGTTCCATCGGAGATGATGCACGCGCGATTCCGTGGGGGGAAGGGGGAAATTGGCGATATCGAGAGGAGGTGCGGGGGACAGTGGGGGCTGGCGCTACCGATGGACTACACCAGCAGTCTTGGAAGCCCGCCACACGGTACTTTTCGTACTTGCTCCGGCTGCGGGTGCCTTCGCCTCGTCGTCAAAGATGTGGGCTGCGAGAGGGAACGAGCCAGTCTGGTTGATGATAATAACAGGGTGCACGGGCTGGGGCTAAACAAACATACACGCCCCGTGGCAGAGCAAACGATGAGCTTCTCTCTCTCTCTTTTGCTCCGAGGGAGGGTATAATATGTGCATGACGTGCATGGCAGAGACGCAGGACTAAAGAGAGAGAGAGAGAGAGAGAGAGAGCGTGGCTTTCTGCCCTGGAGTATCTCGAAGGCGAAGAGTCGCGAAAAAAAGGAGGAAGAAGAAAAAGACTGCCTGCAGGAGGTGGAGGAGGCTGGAGAAAATGAGCGCCGTTGGAGGGTTCAATAACTCCCGGAGAGATTTTGCGCGCTTACTGGATATGTATGTGTGTGTATGTAGGTATATGTATGTACATATAGAAGGACCCGAGGCCTTTTCTCGCAAAGATAGAGGAGGAGTTGCCGAGCGACGAGAGACAGAGAATTGAAAAGGAATTTCTATGTTTCAGCCAAGTTATATATACATTGGGTTCTGGGGTTTTCTTTTCTTTTTCTTTTTTTCTTTTCCTTTCCCCTCTTTTGTCGAGGAACAGTATAGAAGAAGTAGTAGGTAACCCAAGCGACTTTGCTGCGAGGTCGATTTCACCAGCTGAATGGGGCCGAGGGTATACAGGTAAAAAAAAAAAAAAAAAAAAAGAGAGAAAGAGAGAAAAAGAGAAAAAAAATTTACTGCCCTCGTATAGAGAGGTACTACGCTCGGGCAGCACGAATCTGAGGTAAAATATGGGACTCGGGTTTATGGTTGCAGTTAACTGGAAATGTTTGCTCTGGGATTACGACGATGAAAACGTAATATGGGGTATGCGAGATCGGTTGGAGCATAAGAACAGAGGAAATGTATACATGTACACACCTACGCGTAGATGAGCTGGTTTTTAGAGACAGTTTTATGTGGACATTCGCCGTTAATGTTCGGGAAAAGCGCATTGGCTCGAACGGGGAAGGATGAAGTGCAACAGAAGCCAGTGAATCTGTCGAAAATGAAAATCGAAGCGTGAGTCATGAGGGGACGGGGAGGTGCAGAAGACCTCGGTGGGTGCAGACAGAGTAGGTGGTAAAGGAAGCCCGAAGTCCCAATCAATAACTCAACGTCATAAAAATCTGTTTTGAGCGCTGCTGAAGTCCGTGTGTACAACCCTACGTACATGCTGTGCGCTCGAGCTCGTGTCGAAAGGAAATAACAAGCCGGAGCCAAGGAGCGCTCGGGTTCGCGCGTCAGTCAAAACACACGTGACTTTTATTCCGCCAGCGGGTTTTATTGTTACCCCGAAGTGTTGTTTCAAACTCTCCTTATTTGCTTGGTCTTTTTTTTTTTCTTCCAAGGGGGGGGGGCACTTTTTTTACTTTCTTCCCCCCCTCGCGGTGGGTGTGATTTTACTTCGACGTTTCATTTTCCAACTTATCGATCCAGGGCTTGAAACGATTTTCTTCAAGTTTTTTAAATAGAATACTTCTCTTAACAGTCGCACAAATGCAAAGTTCATCGATTCCACAACTATGGTACAGACGGTTCGCTGTGTTTGTCTCGTACAACTTGAACAACGAAATTCAGCACGAAGGTTGAAAAAAATCGTTTCGTGCCTCGAATTTCGTCAAATGCGTCAAAAGATTACGATGCACCGAGTTTATTTTGAGCCAAACGACAAAAAGCTGCTGGCTCGGGGGGGAAGGAAGAAAAAATTACCTAAAATTCGGTGTAAGCGCTGCACGGGAGTATCTCCTTTCAAGGTAATTTTAGTTGGCGCGCAAAGGCAATAAAAGAAAGATAGGGATCGAAAGAGGAG